TATTGCTATTGATAAATATTCCCCAAGTGTTATTTAGTAAAATTGCTTAAATGCGATTTAGCGACGACTAAATGCATTTTATCATAAAACTAAAGCTAAACAAATATGGCAAACACACGCACGCTCTCGCGCACACACACACACACACGCTCACATTATCAACAATAACATTTTGAGCTAACATTATAAAAGCGTCACACACCAACACCCGTAATAGACATCAGACACGCACACACACATATACACAGGCATTTGAAACTATTTCATCTCTGGCCATAGAAAAATAGACACGCATATTTGCAATAAAAGAGAGAGGGGGATGGGGGTGGGGGGAGATAATGTGAACATTTAAGTATTTGTACACTTTGCAATTTAAGGTTGCAAAGTTATTGTTGCTGTTATTTATGCTGTACACATATATACAAACAAACATACACACACACACACACACACAAAGAGATGCACTTTGCAACAGACTCTCACAGAGGTATGTGAGTGTGTGTGTGTGCATGCATAAATTTCAACACAGGCTTACAAATATTTACTTGGCAAACAACAAAACTATGAATGGTTGAAGCAGGCGAACAACAGCAACGAAAGCAATGGAACATCACATCATTTACAATGTGAATGTGTGTGTGTGACCATCCACACATCTGTGAGTGTGTATTTTCGTGTTGAACATTTGCATTGGCGTTTACATTTTATATCCAAACCCATGGCCTCTTCTCGTTGGGATTTAAGTACTCGTATTGTTATTGCTCTTATTGTCGTGTTGTTAATGTCGGGCACTTGCATTTGCAACATAAAACAATAGCATGATACAACACGAGCAGCAACAACAACAGCAACACCACCAACAACACATACAACAGGCAGCCGTTTAAATTATTAGTTTGGTAAAATTTGTATAAAATCTAAACAAAATTTTGACTAAACATTTACCGCACGCACATAGCTACAATATCAACGACCAAATGGGCATAATAAGGCAACGGTGGGATTTTCCTCGAAAGGATTTTTTTTGTCAATTGGTATACAGAGATATAATCCCGAACTTTACCGAATAGGGGATTTTTTCAAAGTCAACTAAAATAACTTAAAAATATCAGTCGATTTTGATGACAGCTGTATACCCTTAGCCCTTAGTATCTATCGTAAGCGTTATGGCTATGTTGTTATGGTATGTCACAAATAATAAATTACATATTAATCTGTTCCAGAACTTCAAGAATGTAAAAGTTTTTAAAAACTAGTAGATTCTTTCAGGTACTGGAACAGAGCAAATATCTCATAAGATTATTTTGAACAGCTGTTTCATACAGTTTTGGTTATGGCATGTCTAATTGAACCTTAAAACTCAACGAAAAGTACAAAAATGTACTTAAAATTTAATACTTTGTAGTCGACAACAGGAATGAGCTAGAATTCCGGAATTTGGAATGAGAGTCACTGATGTAGTGCAGAACATGTGTACTAAAGGGTTTTTGGAAATTCGAACGTTAAGGTTACGAAAAGTACTATTAAAAGGTACCAAACTTCTAGAATGGAACCATTTAATATTATGTGAATGGATAGAGCTAAAAACTTGAGAATCAAGTTTGGAAAGTAAGTTTGAAAGTATGAAGTTGGTTTTGGAAATGTACACAAAGTGTGCGAACTGTACTAAAAGGTACGAAATTTGGAACAGTTCGGCTTACGGTGAAGGGATGAAGCTGGAATTTTGAAATTTTGTATTGGAGTCCCTCTTGGTTGTAGAATTGTGATAAAGAGGTGCTTTTTTGGAATGTGTACCATAAGTGCCCGTAATAGTACTAAATAAATAGCACAATTTGGTATTGGGTATACAGATAGGGCTTGAAATCGCTAATTTGGTATTAGCATCGCTGATCATCTTTAGCCTGAACATATGGCGGTGCTTTTGGAAAGGTTTACTATAATTGCACGAAACGTACTAAATGGTACTATATTTGGTATTGGGAGAAGGGATAGGCCTGGAATCCTCAAATTTGATATTGATGTCTCTGTTCACATGTGGAATTGAGATTTGACGGTGGCTTGGAAATGCGTCCTATATATTTGTACGAAAAGTACTAATGGTACTAAATTGGGTATTGGGTAGAGGGATAGGGTTGCAGTCCTCAAATTTGATATTGAGGTATCAATTGGCACCTGGAATTGATATGTGAAGGTAGTTTTGGAAATATGTACTATAATTGTAAGAAAAGTACAAAGTGGTACTAAATTAGGTATTGGGTCTTCACTTGAAATTTGGGGCTGGAATCCTGAAATTTGATATGGATGTCACTGTTGGTGGCTGTGGTTAAGATTTGGAGATAGTTTTGGAAATGTATACTATATTACTTCAAAAGGTACTAAATGGTACTAAATCTGGTATTGGATGGGGTAGGGCAGATATCCTCAAATTTGATATTGAAGTCTTTGTTGGTATCTGGAATTGAGATATGGAGATGGTTTTGAAAATGTGTACTATAATTGTACGAAAAGTACAAAGTGGTACTAAATTGGGTATTGCGTGAAGTTATGGGGCTGGAATCCTGAAATGTAATACTGAGGTGAAGGTGGTCTGGAAATGTGTACTATTACTGTTCTAAAAGTACAAAATAGTACTAAATTTGATATTGGGTGAAGGTATGGAGCTGAAATTCTAAAATTTGAGATTGAGGTCACTGTTGGCTTCTAGGGTTTACACATGTAGACGTTGAAATAGTTTTGGCCGGAAAAATGGGATGTGAGTCCATTGTGCAAAGGTTTGACTAATATTCCCCTCAGTGTAAAGGGTAAACATTTTCCTATTATTGTTTCCAAAAAAAGGAGAAACCTGAATAATATATAAAACCTTGAAAGTCTGAGGCGTGGATTGAAACATTTTGTCAAACTAAGAAAATTTTCTATTTTGAGTGTAGGAAGAAATGAGTGTATGAAGAAATAAAAAGCACTTGCTAGTAAGAAATATAATTATTGAAGGTTGTGATTTTTTTGTGGGGGAGGAACCAGAAGAGTAAAATCTTCCATCTCCACAACACATCTTGTGGTAGTGGATATATTGTGTTCTGTTAAATTTTAATAGAATCGGATGTTTATTTCGCATTTTATATTAGTTAATAATATTCAACATTTTGACCCTTTGTGGGGGATAAGGAGGGGACCGATATACTCCATCTTCATGTCAGACTTTAGTTCGATAGAAATACTGGGATGTTCCGAGTTTGAAAGAAACCGAATGTTAATTTCGCATTTTCTGAGCTTCAGGGCTATTCAAAATGTTGACCCCTTTGTGGGGGAGGTACCAGAAGGAGTGTGCCGATATATTCCATCTCCCCCCTAGATATAGTGTCAGTAAAAATATTGTGATGTGTGAAAGTTGAAGACAATCGGATGCTTATTTCGACTTTTTGTGAGAGTTAAATTTATTCAAAATGTTGACCCTTTGTGGTGGAGGTACCAGAAGAAGTGGGCCGACATTTTCCATCTTCCCATCATATCTTGTTGTGGTAAAAATATTGCGGTGTGAGAAATTTGAAGACAATCCGTTCGTTATTTCGCATTTTATGAGCGTTAAAATTATTCCAAATTTCGACCCTTTGTGGGGGAGGTACCAGAAAGAGTGCTCATACATATCCATCTTCATATCCGATCTTGTGGTAGTAAAAATATATTATAGAAGTGTGAAATTTGAAGAGCATCGGATGCATATTTCGTATTTTACGATAGTTTTAATAATAAAAAATGTTGACCCTTTGTGGGGGAGGTACATGACGTAGTGGACCGAAATTGTCCATTTTCACATCTGACCTAGCTCTCATACAAATATTACGATTTGCAAAGTTTGCAAAAAAAAAGGGGAGGGTCCTTTCCAGTTCAATGAGTTATATTATTTTCTGAGAAAATTTTAAACTATTGTGGGGGAGGTACCAGAAGGAATGCACCGATATTGTTCATCTCCGAACCCGATCTAAGTTTGACAAAAATATTACGATGTACCAAGTTTAGACCAAATCAGCCAGAAAGATGGACGGACGAACACTGCCAGATCGACTCCAAATTTCCTAAAAAGGATTTGGTCAAAAGAGACTTGGGGTCTTAAATTGTTGTTTTGATGAAATGTGTTTTGGCCCATCAAATGATAAATACCCTCTGAAGCCATATGGCTGAGGGTGGATCTTTAACCAATAATTTGATCATTTATGTCTTTGAAGCCATTGAGGAACAAAAATGTGAGTTGACAAAACAGATAAGGACTTAGAAGTTTGATTTTCTTCGAGGACGCCAAAAGCTTTAGTTATGGACCCTTTTCGCCTATTTGTATGGGGCCATCTATTAATTGAAAATAATCAGTTCCATTTTCTCGTGTTTGAAATAATTAAAAATTTAACCCGTTTTCGCCAAATTCTCCCACTGTCGAGTAAATAATACATTGTCGTGTTATGGCATGGTGTGGCCCAAAATGATGGCATGACATTCATTCAACACAACAACAGCAACAACTACAACATCATCCTCATCGGCAATGCAATCAACATCCATGTCTGGTTTGATGCAGCTGAATTCAATGTTGTGATGATGCACACAAACCCCCCCTTTGCAACCATGAATTGGTTTGAATGACTGACTGACTGAGACCATGGCAAACAATAGCATGGAATATACATAACATGCCAACACTTTGATATGAAAATATTTGTTGTTGCTGTTCAACTTTGGATATTTTCACAAAATATTGTAAGATTTCCAAACACACACCTATACACACACACAAAGAAAGAGTTTATTCAGACACACATTGCCTACAAAGGCCATTTTGGTCTATTCATACATGTGTGTGTGTGTGCATGTGTGTTTGATGATATCTTCTTCCAACTAATTAGCATAAGATGTTCGACATACATGGCAATGTTTGTTTGTAGAGAAATAGAGAGAGGTATATGTATGTGTGTATATTTGTGTGGATATAAATGCTTGTCTTTGCGAGTACTTACCACTTAACGAATTATGGCCACATATCGACGGCGCCTTGCCCAGCAAATAGTCATCCTTGCAGATGTATTTGTTCTCGTCCAGCACATAGAGCTGTTCGCCGGTGCTGAGCTGTTTATGGCAGATACAACATGTAAAACAATTGAGGTGAAACACCTTATCACGAGGTTTCCTAACGAGATCGGAGGGAGCAATGCCTTGGCCGCAGCCGCTGCATTTTGTGCCATAGCGCCTGGAAAGAGAAGAGGCAAAGAAATGAGAAAAAGTGGAGAAAAATTAAATCCCATCACAAATCAATCAACACTCTTTCGTGCCAATCAAGTGTATGACACTCATCATTCTATTAAATCCCCCCTCCCCCCCTCACCATACTTGAGATACAAATCCCATCAAATCATGGCATGGCATGGCATATCTGCCTGCAATTTTATTTTCATTTCCCTGTGATTTTTCCAATAATTTTTTTTGCATGCGTTTTTCCAAGGATACTAAAGATGATGACAATATTGACATTCTCAGTTATTCAAACAATGAGTGAATTGGAAAAATTAATAAAAAAAAATGGAGGAACATGGGAAAAAAATTGAAGGACACCGCCATATTATTATTTTTTTTATTCTTCCTTCTATTCTATTTCGTTGTCATCGTTTTTCATTTCGCTTTTCTTTTTTGTTTAACAGGTTTTAAATCACACATCCTTTTGCTAACATTTTTCTATGTTTATTGTTCGTGTTTTAATTGATTTTTCTTTATTTAACGTTTTTTTTTCTGTTTGTTTTGTTGTTGCCACCGAGCTGTGATTGCAAAAATAAATCGTCATTGCTTTGCATGCAGATGGACAAATAAAGCGGAATTAGTTTTGCCATGTATGGCATGTATGTGACATTTTTTGAAAGTATTCAATGAAATAGGGAAAAAATCAGGGATTAGAGGACCTTGTTAGGGTGGATATATGATTTTGTGGGATTTTTTGGGTTTACGACAAAAATGTAACAAACGTCACAAATGTCAAAAACCTGTAAAAAGTGATTTAAAACCAATAGGAAGTGTGGGAATGTGAATAACATGAGTAAAATAACATTTTGCAAGTTTACGACAAAATGTCAAAAACGTCAAAATGTAAAAAACTTGTATAAAACCCCAAAATGTTAAGCAATTAGCGTGGGAAAAAGATTTAAATGGTCTGGATCGCTTTCTTTTAGTTAAAACTGTAATTTTTAAGGTTTTTTTTCACACAATGTTGCAAATGTCAAAAACGTAAAATACTTGTATAAAACGTTTTTTACTTAAAGTACATTATTTAAGAATATTCAATTTAAGAGAACAAGTTTTGGATGAATTTTTTCACTAGTTTTTAAATTTTAAGTAATTAGGGGAGTTTACGACAAAAATGTTACAAACGTCACAAATGTCAAAAACCTGTAAAAAGTAATTTAAAACCAATAGGAAGTGTGGGAAAGCGGATAATATGAGTAAAATAGCATTTCACAAGTTTACGACAAAATGTCGCAAATGTCAAAAACCTGTATAAAACCCACAAATGCTAAGGAATTAGGCACGGAAATTAACTTAAATGGCCTGTTTCGGCTTCTTTTAGTTTAAAATGTAATTTTTAAGGTTTTTTCACACCCTATCTTAATTGTCAAACACGTAAAAATCATGTATAAAACGATTTTTACTTAAAATGCACTTTGTATGTGACATTTTTTGAAAGTATTCAATGAAATAGGGGAAAAATCAGGGTTTAGAGGATTTTGTTAGGGTGGATACATGATTTTCGGGATATTTTTGTGTTTACGACAAAAATGTTACAAGCGTCACATATGTCAAAAACCTGTTAAATGTGATTTAAACCTAAAAATAAGTGTGGGAAAGCGGATAATATGAGTAAAATAACATTTTGCAAGTTTACGACAAAATGTCAAAAATGTCAAAAACCTGTACATATAAAACCCACAAATTCTAAGTAATTAGGCTCGGAAATGAACTGAAATGGCCTGGTTCGCTTTCTTTTAGTTTAAAATTTAATATTTAAGGTTTTTTCACACACTGTTGTAAATGTCAAAAACGTATAAAACCCGAATAAAATGTTTTTCACTTGAAATATACGATTTAAATATTTTAAATTTGTACACTCAATGTAATTAGGTGTCTTTCTTGGCTAGCCTTTAGTTTATATGTGAATCGGGGAGTTTCCGACAAAAATGTTACAAACGTCACATATGTCAAAAACTTGTAAAAAGTAATTTAAAACTAAAAGAAAGTGTAGGGAAGCATAAAATATAATTTAAAAAGGCATTTTTCATGTGTAGGACAAAATGTCGCAAACGTCGTAAATGTCAAAAATGTGTATAAAACCTACTAATGTTAAGCAATTAGACTGGTAAATTAACTCAATTCGAACAGTTCAGTTAATTTTCCTTTGAAAAGTAATTTTTAAGTTTTCTTTTGCATACTGTTGCAATTGTCAAAAACGTAAAAAACTGGTATAAAAGCGTTTTTAACTTGAAATATATGATTTAAAATTATTCAATAAAAAATATAACATGAGTTTTGAAGAATTTTTAAGAAGCCTTCAGTTTATAATGGATTTTGGGGGTTTACGACAAAAATGTTACAAACGTCACATATGTCAAAAACCTGTTAACGGTGGTTAAAAATCAAAAGAAAATCTAGGAAAGTGGATAATATGAATTAAGTAAAATTTTTCAAGTTTACGACAAAATGTCAAAAATGTTACAAACATCATGTGTGTTCGAAAAACCATAAAAATTGATTTAGAACCAAAAGGAAGTGTGGGAAATCTAGTAAAATTATTAAAATACCGATTTTTATGTTTATGAAAAAAGGTTGCAAACATCAAAAATGTCACAAACTGTATAAAACATGCTAATATGAAACAATTAAATGTCAAATATTTGTATAAACCCCACAAGCTTTAAGGTATTCACAACAAGAAAAACAATTCTAGAGATTTTTTATGTTTTAAGTTTAATATGTATTATTTTAAGTTTTCTACAAAATGTCGTAAACCTCCCAAATATCAATTCTAACTTTTTTGTATCCGTGATATACTTACCTAAAGAAATCATTCCTACAGTAAAGTTTCGATTCTCTACTAAAGCATTTATCCGTTAAAGGCTGAAGGCATTCGCAGCAGCGTACGCAGGACGCATGCCAACCGCGTTCTAAAACATTTAATAAAAATTTATCTAAAATTGGTTTATTGCAACCAGCACAGGGATCGCCAACACCGACCGGCGGTTCACTGCGACCTGGAAAAGAGAGAGAGCAAAAAAAAATCAATTAGTATTTGGGAAAAAATTAAAAAAACACATTAAAAAAATATTCGAATTTAAAAAAATAGCAAAGGTTTAGCCCTCATTCGAAGGATGATGGATGATAATCAGCCAGAATTAAAATTATTAAGTCTTTCTAGTCGAGCTCAAACATATGGAGTCAAGGTAGAGGTGTGTGCCCTTTAGAGTTCTGATTTGATCATTTTTACTTCCGATATGCTGTTTTTAACTAGAATTTAAACGAAGTGCTTGTTATGTGGAATAAATGTTCGGCGTACGAAAAATTCTAAATAATATATTTCGATATGAGCCCCAAATTGCTGAGTTCGGATGATTTCAAGATACAATATGGAAGATTTAGGATATATTTTTCAAATGAAATGGTTGCATTTTGACACGAACTCGAACGAACGTATTCGGTCCGACAGATAATGGGGTTTCTTCAAAGACCTATTTTCAAAATTTCGACCAAAATTTAAAAAAATGATGTTCATAATTCAAGTGATCCGACAAATAATGGGATTTCTCCAAAAACGCATTTTCGAAATTCCAAAAAAAAAAATCAAAAAATTATGATCACAATATTAAAAAATCCGACAGAGCAATTTTCAAAATTTCGACCATAATTTCAGTTATACCCAAAAGCTTCAATATATCTTCTTGAAAACATCCAAGCTCGGCATTATGGGGCTCATATCGAAATATGAGCCAATATTGGGAAGTTTTCATAAGCCAAACTTGGCTTGGAAATGTATTCTAAAATTTTAAAATAGGGCCTTAAAAATGTATAAAATCATCCGGATCTGCACATATCAAAATATAGACTAACATTTACAACAAAACCTTCAAAACGCCAAAATGTTATGCCCTTCAATGTCTAAATAAAGTCCACATATGTTTCCTTCTGTCTTCACTCATTGTCGGGTCTTTGCGGAGCTTTTCTTGTCAATATCAAATAACACTTTCGAACCGCCCCCCCCCCCCCCCTGTTTCTTCCCAATATTTCCTGGCCATAACACCTTAAATACCCATTAATGAGCATCATTATGTTTTGTGCAATCGACCTCACCTCAAATTTCCTTGCAGATATTTGCCCAACAACATTGTGTTCTTCAAAAACCCGAACACACCTTTTGATGCTTAACCCTACCACCAGCCAACTGGGTGCCTGGGAGTCAGTTCCCTACAGTCATAATATTTTGCTGTAGGAGGCGGGGGGGGGGGGGGGGGGGGGGGGGGTTAAAAAGAGATGCCTGATGACTAATTAGCTGCAATTTGTGGCATCAACACCAACCATCCGAACGTACTTTGGTTCTTCCTCATAATCAAGGAGGTGCTGCTGTTGCCATTGAAGAACAAACAGTAGCTGTTAAGTGTTACGCAAATTTAAACTCTGTGGTGCCATTTGAACATGTAACCTACACTCATCCCGCTCCCGCCAAAAAAAATATCAAAAATCTTATGCCAAAAAGCTGCAATTACCATTAAATACCGCAAACGTTTAATTTATGCCATTGCTTTAAGCTAAAAATTCTGCTTTCTTTCTTCTCTTATTTTGGTTAAATTTCAAAAAGAGTGCATCCATGTTTGGAGTTCCTACGAACCGGTCATATCATTCATGTGTCCAAATTGATGCTTGGCTTTGCTGCTCATAACAACCATTTGAACATGGCCAATACCTTGACTACTCAGAAAATAGTTTTCAAAGCCAAAATTCCCAAATGCCACAGATGATGAATGAATGGACGTTGATTTCAGACCACAATTGGTCTCTGGTGCGTATTATTTACATATGTGTGAATGATGGTATGTGTGTGTGAGAGGGAATTACCTTTGTATGCACTTAAAAATAGTCAAACAATGAGCATCTCTTTTTAAGCAACCAAAACCCCCCTGGAGCTATTTGCAAGAGGGTGTTGTTAACATCATTGCTGCCACAACGAAAACAGTTTCCTTACGAGCAGTAGCATGGAGGTGGTGTGGCAGGGAGTAACCATATTTTTGTTGAAACACATCCCAAAAGTGCAACCGTATAATGATATAGTGTCAAATACTTTATTTAGTTTTTACTCGAAGAGGAAAAAATTGCTGGTCTTTATCTAACCGCCAAAGGGTCAGCTTCTGTCCATCGTCGTCATCAAACATCATATCATGACTTTGTGATGGTGAGAGGAATTGAGAACTCTCTTAACCCAAAAAAAAAAACGACAGGGTAGAAACCCAAGACAACAAGCTGCAACAAAAGCCCCAAGGGTAGTTAATGAATATGCCGAAGCAGAGATGGCTCCTATGGCTCTGCCAAGGCAACTTCATTTTAGTTGAAGCCATACAAACTGCTTCTCTTTGTTCTTCCACCTCTCCTCCGTCTATGCTCATAATTTAAACCATTTTTCTGACCATTTATCGCTTTAACTTTACTACTCCAAAGAAATGAAATTTATGCCAAAACTTGCAAAATTAAAAGCACCTGAAGAAACGAAGGAAAATGAGGCATGAAGAGTGTGTTGTAGCCTTTGCTTCAGGTCTATGGTCATTGGGTATTTTTTGGCTTAGAAGGGGAGGAAATCATCTAATGTTCATTTTGTCTTGTTTTTTTTTTTTTTTTTTTTTTTTGATATCCGGAGTGGTTCGGCAATTTATTACCAATTTGCCAAACAAATTTAAAAGCAAAAAAAAATTTTGGTCTGGCAAGAAAATGAAGGCGTTGCCTTAATAAAACAAATGCTGGAACCCACAAATCTCCAAATATAAGTTCATGAGTTTTTAATTTAGGAAATTATTAGACACAGACATGTGGAAAGACGTAAAACAGGCAAATTGCTGGGCTTTAAAATGCCTGCAATTTTCCTGTCCCATGAGCGATATAACAGAACCTTATTAACTACCGAATATAGTACTATTTAGTACTTTTCGCACCATTATAGTACACATTTCCAAAAGCTCTACCTCCATATCTCAGTCCCAGATATCAATAGAGGCCCCTATATCAAATTTGAGACATCTAGCCCTCTCAAATACACATACCATCAGTAAAATATCAAATATCAGAAGTGTATCTCTATCCCTTCGGCCAATAGCAAATTTAGTACCACATAGCACTTTTCGGACAATAGTACTCATTTAGTAGTTCTCTTTTCTGAAACCGCCATCATTTTTCGATTCCTGATACCAACACATACCACAATATCAAATTTGAGAATTTCAGACCTATACCTTCACCCAGTACCAACCTTAGTACTATTTAGTACTTTTCGAACAATTATAGTACACATTTCCATGAACACCCCAATAACTTAACCACAGACACCAACTGTGTCATCCATATCACATTTCAGAATTCCAGCTCTATTCCTTCACCCCATACCAAATTTAGTACTATTTAGTACTTTTCGTACACATTACCAAAATCATATCCATATCTCAATTTCAGATATCAACAGAGACCTCAATATCAAAATTCATGATGCCAGCTCTATCCTTCGCATAGTAACCAATTTAGTACCTCTTACTTCTTTTCGTACAATAATAGCACACATTTCCGGAGCGACCTACATATGTCCAGGCTACCACCTTCCTATATCAAATTAACTTCGCAACCTTGACTCTTATACCAATTGATTCTTTAAATTTGGAAATTATTAGACCCAGACATGTGGCAAAATATCTACAATTGTCCCGTCCCACGAAGGATATGTCAGAACCTTATTAAGTATCGAATATCGTTGAGAAATCCGAAATATAAAAGGGATCCAAAATTACATTGCAATTGCATCGTTTCGGCAAGAGTCCCATACAGGGGATCGATATCTAAGCTGAAACCTTGAAAATCCTAAAATTTACCAATATAACCCCCCAACCCCTACCAAACCCCCTTGGAATAAGTTTTCCACCATAAAAAGTCCTTTAACAACTGGGGCAACCCATAACCAGCAAATGGGTCAGTTGCAGACAGACGGTATAACCTAATCATACACCAAAAAGGAACCATCCACCGCTCCCTTTTATTCATACATCATTGTACCACCCCCCTCATCCATTCTTTGTGTTTTGAGAAAAAATTAAAAAACCTTTTCTTATTCTCAAAGAGAAGAAGAAGGAGGAGATAGAACGTATATCAAACATTTTGTTGCTACGAAAACTGTCAAAATTGACGGATGTCATCAATCAAAATGTGTTTTGGCAAAATCCATGGCCGTCTACGGCAATGTAGCTTTTATCATCATCAACAGCGGCAGCACAGCCGCCGCATGTAACCTCGACCAAAGCAAACTCAAGGTTAAACACACTGGGAGAAGGCAAAGCAAAAATAACAAATGAAAAGCAACACCATCCACAACTTAAGTCTATAACAAAGTTAAGTCGGTAGCAACAGTTTAAAGCATTTTTTTTATGGCCAGTAATTATCGTCGAACTTTGAAGTGGGGCAAATAACAACATATGAAAACTATTTCCCTACAGTAAAAAACTACAAGGAACTTGAAAAGACAAAAGGTTTTATGGATTCTTAAATTTAGAAAATTTTCTAAAAAAATTTGAAGGCTTTAGATCTTATAAAAATAGTGTTCTCAATTTTTAGAGAAGTAAGTATTTTCAATATTGCGTGCCAAAATGATTAACATTTTTTCAATTTGTACAGGCAGGGAATGTTGGAGAAAACTTAAGTTTGAAAATTGTTTTTTTTTTTTAATTGAATACAGTTCTACAACCTTTCTGGACTTCGATGAGGACAACTTTTGTTTCATTGATGAAATCAAAGATATAATTTAAAAATCTCTTTAAAATTGCAAATCTCTATTCTGAATATTGAGAAATATAACTCAAACTATAGAGGTCTCCATGTATGTAATGTATGTAACTATACAGTGAATTTATAAGAAAATTTTCAGCGAATTGGAAAAAGTGCTAAACTTTTGAGATTTAAAATTTGCGACCAAACTATTTTCCGTATTTTTATCTGCAAAATTGCCGAACACACT